TAAAATCAATAGTTTTTCCAATATATTGGAAATTATTAAAAAAAAACAATGTTGCTAATGAAAAAAATTGACTCACGAGATGGGACACCTTTTCTACAGCCCTCCTCCGCATCGATGTTCAAATATTATCTATAGCTGGTCAGTGAATAAAAAGTGATAAGTTATCAAAATTGGAAAAGCAGTTTTTGAGATAATTGAAAAAAATCATTAACTTTAATACCCCGTATCTTGAAAATGAAGCTTTAAAACATACAAGGTAATATGAACTTTTTTTTTTATTTTTTAATAAATTTTTCGGAATCTGAGACACCCTGTATATGATGGCTTGTGAATCATCCGGTATAGATAGACCGTAAGCCATATGGCTATAAATTACGTTATAGGTTCTCCAACATGCTATAAATATTAATCAACGAGTTAGCAAACCATTCTTAAACAATAGGTCGTGTCGTTGGTAGAAATATGTCGTAGGTAACGGTGTTGAACTTCTTAATGCACGTGAAAGCGATACTGCACAAAGGAATCTTATGGAGTAAAGGTCAACCTGTACTCGATTCCACAATTTTTGTTCTTATTGTTAATTACTAAGTACACACATGCTTTACGCCACATATGCATTTAATTCATGATAATCTATTTCTATTATTATTCTATTATTTCTATTCTGCTATTTGGTTATAAAATTTTAAACTGTCTCATTAATGCACCAAATCCGCTCTCCCGTATACTTATCAATGTTCCTTTCAGAGACACCCGTCAAAACCAATTTCTGCATATCCCGTTACACAAGACATCATGTTCTCCTCTTGCAGTTATGTTTAAATTAATTAATCAAGTTTCATCATGCAACTCCATTGACTTGTTTTCACCCCAAACAGTATTCTTAAGGTGGCCATATCCCTGGCCGAGAAATGGTGAAATTTCTGACATTTTTAGGTACTGAAATCTTGAAAAGTAAAACGTGTAGAACAAAAGTAAGCACAAAAATAAAATTCTTGATGTTTTTTTTATTCATTGTTACCATTTAAATTTACCCAAATAAAATAATAACTAAAAAAAAGCATTTGTAAAACATGCGTTTTCTGTTATCCTAACCCCACATTTTAATAATTATTTTCACGTACTTATAAATAAAAGTAAATAATTTTATATGTAGGACTAAGCAAGTAAATGTTATAAGAATATTTACATGTGGAGTTATGTCTAAAAAAGTTAGTATTTTCGTAGACTTCAGTACCTAAAACCTTGATGGGTTGATCGTTTTTTGCACCTGTTTATTCGTTTTACTGCGGCGTCTTTGAAAATACTCAGGTGGCATGACATAACATTCCTATTATTTGATAAGCTTTAGATTATTCAGTTATTAAACACTATTTAAAGAATATGGGGCCCTTAAAAGAAATTAAACTAATTTTTGTTAACAATTTACCATAATCATGTCTTATTATTGTAAAATCGTTATGTGGATGTTGTTGCCCTTCTGATATAGTGCTGCTATGTATTTAGAATATTACCATTCGTTAGTGTGCTTGATTTACGTACATATTGTACAATTCAGTGAAGTAATTTTTTTCCCTGTAATTAGATATTCATGCCTGTTGGGAAAATAAATAAATAAATAAATAAATAAGTATTCTTAAGAAGTGAAATCCATCGGAAATATTTTATTTCAATGTGAAAGATGATTTGGCATGAAAAAAGTTAATCTAATTTAAATTTTGAGGAGATGAAGAATTGACAGAAAATGTTTACGAAAGGGGAAAATATGAAAAGTCAGGGTGCAATTTGATATTGTATTTAAGGGATATAATAATTATAGGCCTAAGCCGATTCTGATGTAAGTTGCATATTGCATATACAGTTAGCAAATAGAGGTAGGTATACTGTTTCCATAAGTTTGAATATATCAATAGTTTCTCCATAGGTCATGTTGGTCAACATAGGGACACAATTTAAAATGTATTTTTAAGCAAACAATTTGCCATTATATTTTTTACCTCAAATTATTCGTAAAAACTAAGGGTACATTTCCAAAATGGCCAATACTTTATGTTTGGTTGAAATATTTGGTGTAGTGTAGTATCAAAAGTGACGAGATTGTTAGCTATTATATATGAAAACATAATAAAACATTCTGAACATAGTGAAATATAATCCAAGGTGTCCCTTGGATTATAGTTCAAGTGTAGCTTCCTTGGATGGAAATAAACCGATAAATCAAGTTACCCAGGCATAATCTCGCTTCCTTAAAGAGTTGCGGGCTTTCAAAAAAAATGTTTCATTATGTCGTTCTAGGATAATTCCTAACCTTTTAAGATACTTTAAGGGAGCTTGGTGAGATATAAAAACATTTTTAGGAGAGCCTCAGATAAATATAGACCCACTTTTTTACTAAAACATTTAAACATACACGAAACGATCTGTTTCCCATTTTTTGTATATACAGGATGTTCCAGAATAATGTGTACAACAGAAGACCACAGATTCGTGGACTCAAAATAGGCAGATTTAGACTAATTCACCTAATCCAAAATCGCTTCGTTTGGCCGCTAGATGACCTCAAACTGCTCATTTAATCAAAATTCTATAAGAGGACCAAAAACTTCCAAATGGTATCACCTATCAAATAAAAAATAGTTGTCGTTATTTAAAAAATTTTCACGAACTTCGACGCCATCTAGCGACCAAACGGTTTTGCCGCAACCAGCGCTTTTGGATATAGGTGAATTAACCTAAATTTGCCTATTTTGAGTCCACGAATCTATGTCCTTCCATTGTACACGTTATTCTGGGACATCCTGTATATACAGGACGTTTGTAAATAAGTGCAAAATATTTTAGGGGTGGTTGCCGAAGTTATTTAAACGTAAGTCGAAATATGCTTCTTTTCCGATGTACAGAATTTTAATTTTTTATTTATTTCTATTAATGTTTTAAAGATATTTGCTCGAAATTTGTTGCTTGTATTTTATTTAGAAATATTGAGAGCAACCTACTTATCAATTTAAAAATACATAACTTGCAATAAAATATGTTTTATTTTTTTCCTCGAAAACGGTGCATCCTACGAAAAAAATTGAAGAGACCAATTTCATTTAGAATTGATGGCGGATTTCTAAATAAATATCAAAATGGAAAAAAGTCAATGGCGTACCATTTTTTTTTATTAAAAAAGTTGTGGTATTCTCGCATGAACGCCACTGGTGCAAGTAGAAATATTATAGGATCACCCCAAAAAATTAACATCTATCCCTTCAAAGCGTTTTTCAAATTTCGAGTCAATATCTTTAAAACACTTTGAAATAATTAATAATAATAAATAAAAAACTAAAATTTAAACACTATCTCGGAAACGAAGTATATTTCGACTTACGTTTATATGAACTTTTTTTCACAAAATAACTTCGGCAACCACCCCCTAAAATAATTCGCACTTATTTATAAACACTCTGTATATTAAGAATGTATAAACGTTTTCATCCATTCGTTAAAATATAATAACATTATTTCAGGGAAAAAATGTATTCGATTTTCAACTGCTGTTGTGAATTACATAAAACTGAATATTTAAAAACATTCTAACTTGAATTAAACTTTATCTTTTTGCTAAATTTTGTATACTTTACTTTGAATGTAGTTTCGCGAAATAACATTTGGAGATTCGTATCTCAGTAGGCGCTGTTTTTCGAATAGACGCTAATCGTACGGAAGTCTTATAAAAGTACTTTGGCATTTTAGGTTGAATATTAATTACATTAGTGAATTTGCATTTCCTTGAATTATCATAGAAATATATATGACAAAAAACAGAAGATTGTTTCAAGTATATTCTTAGCGACATCTATGTTGTAAATTTCTTTTAAGTAAAAAATAAGTTCATGTTCTTCAGCTACTTCAAAACCCTCCTTAAACTAAATTTCATTGAAATATCTCAAATACTGAGACAACTATCTTAAAAAAGTTTATTAGGAAAAATATATATTTTGTGGGTTCGCAACTTAAAAAAAAAAAAACAATTGGTAATTTGATTTGAATCGATTTATTTTCGTCAAGGAAAACACCATTAAAATATGGCCCATTCGGTTTTGTACCCTATGTACAAAGTGAATTTTATAAGTGTACAGTTACAAGATTTTATATTTTATTAATACATTTTATCGAAGAAATCACACCCTCTGCCTTTTGTATTTCATTAAAAATGTAGATTTCGGATTCTTACGATTGCGAATAACAAAATTATCATTCTAAATAATAACAGTTTCCTTGCAAGCAGTTTTAAGGTGCAACCGTACCACATACTCCAAGCAAGGACACACATTGACGACTACAGATCATAACATTCTCTTTCTGGTCGTAAAACAAACTGTCTTACAGCTATATCTTTGGCAAACAGGATCCAGTTTTGTAGAAAAAAAAAATGAATAAAACATATGCAAAGAGATATGAGGTATGCTTCTGGATACGCTATTGTTAGTTGTATTTGTCAAAATTGGAATTAAATTAATCCTTTGTTAAAAAATGGCATCGCACCATATTGTTTTCAGTTTTATAAGAAAGAACTACTTTAAAATTATATTTTGAAAGCAAAAGCATCAGAACTATGAACTGTGAAGTATGACAATATGATACGTATTATTTTTTGTTAAATACGAAAGCTATTTTTGCAATAACAGTAACTAAATTTTGGGTTTTCGACACAAGGCGTTCAAAACTAAAAAAACTGACCACAGCCTCGTTACTTTATAAAACATTTTAAAGACTTTTAAAGAAAAGTTGCGTACATTCACTTTTACATATTGTTTTCTTGGGCAGGCGTAGAATTACAGGTAAAAATCGTTAATTATTTTCTTCAGCGACTTGCATAACTGACCACTCGAATTCAAAATTCGGACGAAACTGCAAATATTTTTTCCTTTGCGAAACACTTTAAACATTACGTATACATCTATGCATTACTTTCACTCGTACCGCTTAGTTTTTGTAAGTGATTTTGAACTCACCAGCACCGGCCAACAGAAGGAAAGCTAACACGGGGAACCTCGTCATGGCTGCCACTCCTGCACTTAACTAGAAGCGTTTTAGAGACACATAAAGCTTATAACAGCATTCTCCCTATAGCATGACCTTGCGGTACCCGGAGAATCGACTGCATTGTCCACCGAGGGCCAATTTAAAATTAAATACTTTCCGGTGTAATGAGGCAGGTTGCATGGTGCTGTGGTTACTCTAGATATACGTGTTATACATTATTTAGACGATTTTTTTTTAATATTCATTCAAGATTTGCCGATTTCACTTTCGTGGAGATTGAGAAAGTGCGGCGAAGGGGGAGTGAGATGCGAGGTCTCATTAATGCGTACTGTAACTGCTTGAAAGAGCAGAGACGCGCTTCTTGCACAAGAGAATTACCATTTGTGAAAAGATATATCTATACAAAAGTTTACAACAGTATATCGATGCATGAGACAAACAAATTAGTCTAACTAGTTCTGGTATTAATAACTGTGAAAGTTATTAAGGAATTAACGTTGATATTACCTTCCAAAATTTTGAGGGAAGGAGATACCTATGTGTTGTTCAAAAAGAAAAAAGTCAGCGGTGTACATTTATTTTAAAAGACCGTGCTAGTGTATTAGCATATCCACTTAGTATTTTAATTAATGTGTGTGGAAGAACGTGCACTTTTCCAGACACATGGAAGTATTCAAAAGTTTGCTCCATCTATAAAAAAAGGAAATAAACAGGATGTATCAAATTTTCGCCCAATTTCAATTTTTTTGTAATTTCAGTAAAATCTTTGAATATTTGCTTCACGGTCGTATTTATTATGTCAGTAGTAAAATTTCAATTTATCACCATGGATTTATGAAAGTTAGATCAACAACTTCTAACCTAATAACAGTTACACAGTTTATAGCTGAATCCATTGATAAACAATTACAAACAGATATTATTTACACAGACTTTTCGAAGGCATTCTACAGACTTGACCATAAAATATTACTATCAGAGTTTAACAAATTTGGTCTCTCGAATTCCCTATTACAATTATTTGAATCTTGTTTGTCAAATAGATTTCAGTATGTCCTACTTAAAGGGTATAAGTCTGTAGATTACTTAGCCACGTCGGGGGTCCCGCAAGGATCTGTTCTTGGACTACTCTTCAACATTATTATCAATGATATAATCGTAGATATTAATTACCTTCTCTATGGTGATGACCTGAAAATATTCTCAACCATTGAAAACATCGACGATTGTATACATCTTCAAAGTGCCTAATTTGATTAAAATTGATAACTGGTGCCAATTGAATAGACTTCCTATGAATGCTGAGAAGTGTAACATGATATCTTACACTTCAAAATCATCAAAAATAATGTTTGACTATAATTTTAACGGTCTTACTTTAACTCGACCTAACACTTTTTGCGATCTCGGCGTTATTTTCGATTATTCGAATATCTGAAGCTTATTTGTATGAAAATCAGCCTTGGTAAAATGACAACCCTCAAAATGCCACGGGCTCTCGGACTATAAACTAACGAAGCAATCTGAATGCTATAAAGAGACAATTTGTAGAGAATCGAAATACGAATAAAACGAGAGATCGTTCCGATCGAATAATTAGAAACGAAGACACTTTTTGCAAAATAAAATGTAAATGGTCGAAAGAATTATTTTTATTAGGCCTTTTACACATCAATTAAGTAAAAGGAAATGTAAAAAAGTAGGTAATTAAATAAAAATAAATGGTTGACAGAATGAATTCTAAATTAAATTAATCTACAATCTTGCAAACAAAACAGCTACAAATTACAATAAATGTTGAAAATGTTCACCATTTACCACAATACATTGTCTAACCCTATTATTCAAGTATTGACATTGTCTAACCCTATTATTCAAGTTTTGACTTGCGTTAAAAATTACTTTGTTGGACTCTGATATTGTTAACTCCTACAAATGTTTGCCATAATTCCTGGCAGTTGATTATTTTATTTTTATAAACAAGTGATTTTCAGTAGCCCCAAAAGTAAAAATCTAAGCGATTTAAATCGGGACTACGTGCTGGCCATATGTGTACACTATCTCTACCAATCCATACTTATGAGGGCAAACTTCATCTAGATAATTCTTAACATCTAGGGTTAGGGTGTCATATGGTGGGCACCATCACGCATGTACCAAGAGTCACGTCTTAAAGTTAAAGGTACATCTGAAAGAATTTGTAAATCATCTCTCAAAAAAGCTTAGATATGTTGCTCCGTCAAGTCTAAGTGGCAGTTCAAACGGTCCCACAATATAGTCATGAAGGATGCCATACTAAACGTTTATTGAAAATTCATGTTGAAAATGGTGTTTTTGTGGATTTTTCATCGCATAGGCATGGCTATTGCGCCATTTAAACACACCTCTTCGAATGAATGTGGCTTCATCAGTATATAGAATTTTGTTGTAGAACAGTAGATCCTCTAAATGGCGCTCTCGAAGAAACTGACAAAATTGGAACCTTGCTGGAAAGTCCTAGGGTAATAGCTGCTGGACTGTAGTCTTCTGAACACCGAAGATTGGCTTGTACCCATGGCTGCAGCAACACATCTTGTGCTGGCTTCTACATATTCGGCAATACTACTACAATTTCATCTCCCATATCCGCATCAATTACTCTCGGTCTTCACTTCACGCATTCCTGTTTTTGGGATTAGTCCACAGTACAGGCCTCCTCTGGAAAGTTTATTACCACATACTTTATAACTCCTGAGGCGCTTCGTTTTGACGAGTCTACCACATTTTTCCTCAGCGACTTTTCTCGATTCCTCCGCTTTTCCACTCGGAAAAGTCCAAAAACATGGCAATTTCCCGGGGTCTTGAAAAATCAAGACCACATCATTTATTTTTAGCTTAAGTAACTGGAAATTTTGTTGCAAATGCGGATTTAAATTTGTCCGACAGAAATTCTTCCGACACTGACGTGTCTACCGGTCGAAACATGCCAAAATAACAGGGTATTGAAAATCAATTACGACATAGGTAATTTTTAGTAAAATTAATTATAAATAATTAATTCAGCCAAAAAGTATTGTTGTCCGACAAATTTCAAGTCGTGTTTTTTCAGTCCGACAGCTGGAAATCGGAATTTTCACGGGGTATGAAAAATCGATTACCACATATCTAATTTTCATTTTTTCCACTTTTATATTTACTGTACAAAATAGTGATATAAGTGTCCGACGACTTAATGTCCGCAAATTATTAAAAAATCAATAAATCAATAATCGTGATGAAATTTACTTTTTTCACTCCAAAAATTTCATATTTATAAATGGTTATTAATTATTATTATGTAAATTATTATTTGTTTCAAATAAATAATTATAATATTGCTTATTTTATGCTTAAAAATTTAAAAGTTATAAACAAATGAAGTTATTTTTGAGGTGATTAATACTATCTTAGTGCATAATGCATTATTTCTAAATAAATTAATATTATACTTGATATAAAAATCCTTTTTTCTCTTTCAAGTTTTCATTCGCGTTTGTTATTTTTCCTTACAAAAATTTTCCTATTTTTCTAAAAGAAAATCCCAAAACTTTTGAGCATAATTTTTTTACACCATACATACTTTTTTGAAATCGTTTAATTCTTCTCTCGATATTTATTTGGCTAAATTGAGCATATAAAGATTTACAAGTACAAGAATAAAACGAAAAATATATACAGGGTGTTTCAGAAAGACCTCCCGTAAATAAAGGGGGTGATAGTACGACAAAAAATGATAATTTTTTGTCTTATGAACTATATGTCTTGTTTTCGAGATACAGAAACAAAATAAAACTTTTTAAATAACATTTTTATGAAAATTTCCAAACGGTGCGAAATATTTTTATGAAATTTGGTAGTCCGGGGTCTTTAAGGGTGCCAAAAATGTTAGTCTAATTAATTTTTGTATATTTTATAGAGGGCGCTAGTTATGCTACATTCTTATTACATTTTAAGTTCTATTTTTTTAAGGTTAGGTTTTTTACCATTCGCGCTACAATTTCTATTGTACAATTTTATTTTCTAAAAATAATGTACTTTTGTTAGAACTTCCTAATATGGACGATTTTCGAGAAAAATACAGTTCATAGGTATAGTTCATGACAAAAAATTCTTATTTTTTGTCGTCCTCACCCCCTGTATTTACAGGAGGTCTTTCTGAAACACCCTGTATTGTATATTTACATGGAATTTTGCTTAATACATAAAAATACCTTATTAGCAATTATAAATACATGTGCACATTTTTACGAAATTTTTTTCATCATTTTTTGTCGGACTGACGATTTGCGGATACATTTTTGTCGGACATTACAATTTTTGCTTATAAAAAACACTTCCCTATCGTGTGTTATTTTTGTCCGACATGTGCATGGTAATCGATTTATCATACCCCGTGAAAATTCCGATTTCCAGCTGTCGGACTGAAAAAACGCGGCTTGAAATTTGTCGGACAACAATACTTTTTTGACTGAATTAATTATTTACAATTAATTTTACTAAAAATTACCTGTGGTAATTTATTTTCAATACCCTGTTATTTTGGCATGTTTCGACCGGTAGACACGTCAATGTCGGAAGAATTTCTGTCGGACAAATTTAAATCCGCATTTGCAACAAAATTTCCAGTTACTTAAGCTAAAAATAAAAGATGTGGTCTTGACTTTTCAAGACCCCGGGAAATTGCCATGTTTTTGGACTTTTCCGAGTGGAAAAGCGGAGGAATCGAGAAAAGTCGCAGAGGAAAAATGTGGTAGACTCGTCAAAACGAAGCGCCTCAGGAGTTATAAAGTATGTGGTAATCAACTTTCCAGGGGGGGCCTGTACTGTGGACTAAATGAAATGAGCCAGTTTATCGTAGTCTGTCGTACAATAACTTGAAAGTTTTATGGTTTGGTTACCTTCTATCCGGATAAATCTCGAAATAACACTGCGCTGCTCTGCGAAAACAAAAATTTTCCTGGGCATACAGGCAGACCATACCCCGTATTTGTGGATTTGAAAAAATCATTATGACGTGGCATTTTAACGCAAATAATAATAATATATTACTGATAATAATTAGGTGGTTAATATAGTAAACAAATTGTTTTTAATAACAAAGCATACTTTGTAAGAAATAAATGTAAACTTATGCATCTCATTGAAAAATTACGTTCAGTTCGAAAACGGTCTACTTTTTTGGCTTCAAAGAAGTACCTAAGTATACCTTTTTTGTGTGAAATTGAATAATATTCCTTTATTTTTGTTGAAGAATGGACATACAAGGTGAACAAAAAATGTATGGCCATGTGAATGGACCAATAATGTTGCTGTAGGTGGGCGTCATCTTGCGGCAATGGTAAAATTGAATTGATACCATTTTCGTATTACGCATGCTGAGTAATAACAATAACACGATACCAAATTTCATTGACATCCGTTGGTTGAACAGCTTTTAAAATATTTCAGAAAATAGGAAATTGCAAAGAAAGTTAATGAAACACCCTGTAGAACGGAAGCGAGTAACATTTTGCAAAGGTATATTGGGCCCAAAAGCTTTATTTTGCTGCCAGCTATCACCTCTCAGTGGCACCCTGTATAGAGTACTGTAAATAATCTTCATTTTCATTAAGGGGTTCTTGTATAAATGTTGCAACACACAAATTTTGATAATCGACGTTCGATTCTATTCATTGATGGGTTCGTAGAGGTCCTGTAGTCGAAGTCCGCTTTAGTTTGGAATTTTTTTGGATTGTAGTCTCCTGGAACGGGTGATGGACTTGTCCTTTGACACGATACATTAACTTTGTATTGCGATTTTCAAGTTCGAATGTAAAATTATGGAATCAATGCAATGAAACATTTAAATTTTTCAATAACCACAAGTCCTGCCACCTACTTTGTAGTAGTATAACTAGAACTGCATAGTACAGATTCCTACTTGATCACATTTTAAGTTGCCATCTACAAGGCGAGGGACACATTATTATTGATTCGGAGCTCTGGCGGAGAAAGTGGCAATCACCTCTACAATTTATGAGAATGAACGTAAAGCCAAGCCGACCACCATTTTAGCGCGTCAGTTGTAGATTTTCCAATTATTTTGATATTTCTATTCGTGTACTACTAAGAAAGAATAAAATAATTAGCGTACGATGGAGGAAGATCGTGCGAACATACTACGGGAGATGAAAGTTTGTCGTTTTTGTTTGTCGAGTGAGGAAAGGGAACTAACAAACATCTATGATAAGCACGGAATGGACACGAAACATTATGTACCGCTTCCGCTACAAATCATGGCCTGTATTGCAATAGAGGTTTGTAAATTAACTAAGTTCGGTATGCATGTAAGAAAAGTTTGCTTTATTTCATCTATGCCGTGGGATGTAGGACTAGGATAATTATTAAATTTGTGTCGCTGCTTTCTCTAGGCCTTATGATTATTTAGATTGTAATTTTTACCTTCCTACCTTTAAGAGAGAAGAGAGATTTCTTTTTCCATGATCGTGTAGGAACATTTAAATTATTTTGACAAATTTGACAATGAACAACGACAAAAATGTCACTTTGACTGTATTTAATATATTTTTAAATTCAGTGTACTAAATTTTTTGGCTGTATAAACAAAAAAATATTTTTGTACACGGACAGAAATAGTATTCTTCGACATTCTAAATTGACAAATATGAATTTAAATTGTAATTTTTAATGCGAAAAAAAGGCACAACTGGCAGAACGTACTTAATTTTTTAAGTAAGTTTTCTTACTGCCAATGGTTTATTGTCTACAATTAATTTAAATAATTACGTTAACATATTTTAAATAACCACTATGAATTGATCACTTAATTTCGTGTCCTACGTTTTCATTACCAAATGAATATCTATTTTATTTTATGATTTTGTAAGAGCCGCCATTTTAATTCTAATCTCGTTATGTTATGTTCAGGGTTGTAGCTAGCTATAATGAACATTTGGGGTAATTGTTTAGAAAAGTTGTGTGTAATATTTGTATAGAAGTTGAAATATTTAATTTTTGATACCACTACATATATTCTCGGTATTTATAAATTGAATGGCCATGTGGTTAAATAGGACTACATTTACTAATTTGACTGGTTTTTGGTCTATATTTCTATATAGACACTTATTTGTAAAAATAATACATTCCCGAATTTGCTATAAGAAATGTAGCCTATTATATAAAACATATACGAGTATGTACATAGAATATACCATATCATAGCATTGGGATATAGTCGAATTAATAACTGCCAAATATCTTCATCCTCCTAACAGTCCCAACCTTATTTTCATTGTTATAGTACATTTTTCGGCACTATATATTTCTACAAAGACTCGCCTATACATTTTTAATTAGGACATTCTACATAAAACCTGTATATAACCATTTTTCTTAAATGTGTAGAATTCGTTACTGTTCTAAACAATTACCTAATAAATTTAATTATAATTCTCGGGACATTTAGCCTGCATTGACATCCCTCTAATTACGGGCCTGTGCCCGTTATATTTCTGGCTCTGAATAATAGATGGCAGCAGAGTTGCAAATAGGAAAATATGATATACTGGGGGCTCATTTAAAAGTTGCTAAAGAATTTATAAGCTCTAAAAAAATACGATATAAATTTTCTTTATTTTAGGAGGGAAAATAAATCTTATTGAGTGGACAATTTACTAATTTTTAAATTATTTAATCGATGTTTTCTGTTGAAGTACTAAGCTATACTTTTTAGGTATTTAAAAATGATGGGATGCCTCAACTTATATGCAACTATTGTAGAAAACTCACTTTACAAGCATACAATTTTAAGACCAACTGCAAAAAAGCAGACGATGCCCTAAAATTATTCCTTGCCACTGGACAATTTTCTAAACCATACATTCAAAAAGTGGAAGAGGTATGTATAATATGATAACTAGTAAATGCTTGTCAATATGAATTATTTGTTTCTTCAGAAATGTACGGAAATAATTTGCAAAATTCTTGCAGATAAAGACAAACAGGAAACAACCTGAAAGAAAAACCACAATTGTAAATACTTTCGCACCTGCCGAACCCTCCAAATCCAAACGGATGAAAATGGAAGATGGTACCGAAATAATTACCTTAAATTTCACATCTGCAGATGACCGAGGGTCTGTTCATCCTGGAGAAAATGAAAACGAATCAATTTTAGGATACGAAGACAACAGAGACAGATGTGATGAAGGTAAAAAATTAAATAAATGCTGACATTTCACATAGATATGCCTATAGAATCATTGTGCAGCAACACAGATCTGACGTCAATACAAAAACTCTGGATTTAATGTTAGTTTGCCAATTTCAGTAAATGGGGATCCCTTATCTTTTGTAAATGTTAATAAAAGACGTCCTGTTCTTTTAACTAAAATTGATATAATTATTGAACAATTCAGAAAACAATTTTAATTGTTTTTAAAGTTTAAACCATGAAGTTTTTTAAAGCATCAAATTACAATTTTTTCAAATAATTTAGATACTACACTCGAAGAAGAAGACTATTCTAATCTAGACGAGGACGATAATCCCGTAAACGCCGTATTAAAAGTCAGTCAGGTGAAAACCGATTGTTTTCCCTGCCCACACTGCGACAGAACGTTCCCGTTGAAGCAGCTGCTCGACTTGCACCTCCCTAACCACGATCGGGAAAGAAGCTACGAATGCTCCGAGTGTACGAGGAAATTCTTCACTAAATACGATCTGCAGAAACACTTGCAGACCCACAACGGCGACAAGCCGTTTGACTGCATCATCTGCAACAAGTCGTTCTCGAGGGAGTCGTTGCTGAGACGGCACGAGAAGATACACGTCGATGTTCCGAAATACGTGTGCAATCAGTGCGACAAGACGTTTTTAACCAAACAGTATTTGGATGCCCACCAGGAGAAGCACAAGAAGAAGAGACCTTTCACTTGTCAGGTTTGCAACAAGAGCTTCGTTTTTAAACAGGTAGGCTTAATTAATAAGTAAGTAGTTAGGTATCTAACTATCTAAAGAAAACAAACACGAAATAAAAATGCGACTATGAAGTTTTAAATGATTCACAATAAGAAAAAAACAAACAAATTATTAAAACTCAATGAAATAAAAGTATGTTTGCAAGTATCTATGTATGTTTCGACTACCTAAAGACAACAGATACAAAACAAAATTGTGACCTTAAAATATCGAACGCAATTATAACACCAAGAAAGAAAACACAGTCGTCAGTCGTCACCTCCATTCGCTCAGTTTATTAAAGGATAACGCGCGCGTTATCGTTCGACTTATTAGCTAAACAGTAGGCAAGACGGTGCGGGGGGAGGGTTGACGATCGCATCAAGCGAAGCGAGGTGCTTGAATTTTATTCTCGCGTCCGTAATTTTTTTGCGATTACTCCTAAGATATTCATTTAAATTATATAGTGTAAAAGAGTAAAATAATGTACATGAAATACTTAAAGCCCTTAACTTATTTAAAATGATAAGGATTAATACCGTATTTGTATAAATAGCTTTTACATTACCGCTTTATGATTGCCAATTTTTTACTTTTTTGTAGGCATATATAAGATACACAATTCCACCATACATTGATACACTACATAAACTTTCGGACCCCCCCGGCTCGGACGCGAGGCGCGGAGTCACGGGACGCCCGCGCGGCCCGGTCGAATTACAGTGACACGAAATTAATTTCGTTGCACATTATTTTGATTTTGCTATATCTCCTAAGGTATTCATTTAATTTGCATGGTGTAAAGGGGAAAAATAATCTTCATGAAATGCTCAAACCAACTAACGTATTTAAAATGATAAGGATTAATACCGTATTTGTGTAAATAGCTTTCCAATTACCGCTTTATAATTGCCCATTTTTTAAAGTATTAAAATGGATACAGTATGTTATCCTTAAGATATAGACATATGCCATCGCGGACTTATATAAGATACCCAATTCCATCATACATTATTTTGTTATATCTCAAAGGGTTTAGACAGCGTTTTCGTTGAAAGCTCCCACACGGCTTATTTTTTTTCCGACACCTCCAACAAATATCGTTAATGTATACAAAAACTTAACAAATTATATACTAAAACCTTCCTCGAGAACCACTCTATCCATTGGTCAAAACAGCATGAAAATCGGTGCAGTAGTTTTTGAGTTTATCGCGAACAGACAGACAGACAGACGTGGCGGGGGACTTTGTTTTATAATATGTAGTGATTATGTACTATAGAATAAAAATCAATAGCAAATCACAAACTTGTACTTACTTCAGAATAAGTAATAAATGACATAGAAGTTCTGTTATAAAGTTCTATTATCTCAAATTTGCTATAATTTATTTATAACTTCTTGACCAAATTATTGGATAAAATATTGATAAGTAAAAGCAAAACAAGTTTTAATTATTTTCGTGTTAAAGTTTGCAAAATAATTAAGATAAAAAATTATGCAAATACTATTTGCCATTTAAACATTAAAACTACATAAAATTTATTCAAAATTATCAGAATCATTATACGAACTTTAAGTTAATGTCCTTATTTTACTTTCAGCAAAATAGCATATCTTTCCCAAAATTAGTAAGGTTTTTACTATTTTTTTGTCTGAATTATAGTTGTTTCTGAATTAAAGAAAGAAATTCAACTTGATTGGTGTAATAGTTCTGAAGATATTGTTGCCAAATATAAGCATTTTTTAAACTTTGATAACCTGTAGTTGACAACAAGTTTAATTTTATTAATGTACTTTTTTTCCCAATCGTCCTACTTCATCTTAGCAATTTCCATATTTAACTTGTGAAACGCCCTAAACTATTTTTTTTATACAAATTTGAACAAACTCTTTTAGGGCCTAGAACGTCACGAAGTCGTCCACAGTGAGAACAAACCCCACAAATGCAACTACTGCGAAGCGAGCTTCACCTCCGCCATAAAACTGACTCGCCACATAACGTCCCACGCTGGTTTGAGACCGTACCCGTGCAAATTGTGCGGCAGGACGTTCCTCTTGAGTCACCACCTGACCCGCCACATGAGGAGCCACTACGCCATGCAGTCTTCCTCGCCGGAAGCCGCGATCGGACAACATAAGTGTGACATATGTAGCATGTCGTTCAGGAGGAAGGACTCGCTGATCAACCACAGTGCCATACACTCCATGGTGAATCTTAGGTGAGTTTTTTTGGAAATTGTACGTTATGTTCTAGGTAGAAGTGTACAAATTTTAAGCAGACATCGTTCGGATGGAAATAAACAAGAAACATACTTTTAAAAGTTAATTATTTGTAGCATAGTTTTAATTTTGTATTTATACATGTAAATACAAAATTTAATCCAATTTCTTAAACAAATATAAAACTTTTATCTCCATCTATACACCTATAAACACGTAAAAAAAGTATTTATGTATTTTGCCACCTGTGACAGAATTTAAAAAATTAATGAAGTATGAGGAGCATAATTATTACCTTTATTTTCATTTTTCATTTCCATCTGATGTCTGTGTTTCATAAAATATATGTAATAATTTGATGAAATTTTGTTCTGCTGAGCCCTGGTTTTACGTAAAAAAGATGGGATATCTTCCTCCAAAATATTTTGAATAGCTGCGAAAAGGTTTTCTTGATGCGGACTGATTCCAGTTTTTTTCAGTAAATTTTTATGAGACATAAGAATTTTGGTGCAAGAATTACATAATACTATAAGGTTTTAAATTAGTTTTTTGGTTGTTCACTGCCATGACTTAATTATAAACAATTAGACGCTAGAGAAAATGACTGTCAACGTGACGTATAGCGAAGACAATTTTGATATCACAAGCCTACTTGATTACAGTTATGATTTTTTTAGAATCATTGATATATTGTCATAGACATCGGTTTTCCACAAAAACCTACTTTCCTTCTATTTTAGTAATACTAAGTGAATTGTATTGCAAAGGTAAATATTTGAATTCAAAAATTAAATGTCTCATTTATTACTAAAGTGAAAGGAATGTGTTGTTTTTTATGTTTCATTAAGAACCATTTTGTTTTACTAAAGATTGAAACATTTTTTTTTAAAAGTTTGTATTTATGTAAATGAAAGTCTTAGGGCATGACAATTAATCTGATATTTTTCAAAAAAAAAAGTTTGAAGTTGTTTTGCGGTAGAGTTCCACATAACCTAAAACAAAACAAGAACATAATTTTAGCGGTTCAATATTTTTTGCAAATTTGCTTTTTTTTTTCAAATAATCTAAAAGTACGTAATTTACCTTAACGACAGATTCTTTGTAATCATCATTTTTCTTTTTCATGTTAAACGCATAATCTTCAAAAAATGATGACAACACAGTCTTCGATATTGTTGGATCTTCAACATTGTAGGATCTTTCCGCACAAAAAACTAGAAACTGCCTCCATACGCTTAATTTCGACTTCTTCGTATTTTGGGGAGTTAAATTTGCCACTTCTGCTTTTATGTTTTCGGAATTTTCATTTCCAAAACGAGCCATTTTTGAATTTAAAAAAACGCGTGAAATGCGATTAAATTATGTGACGTTTAAGAAGAAAAAAATATGTCATGCACCACCAAACAATGTCTATCTGTCAAGCCAACTTTATTTTGGCAAAATAAGTTTCAAAATGAACCATGTCAAATTTTTAAAATAAATTTTGGTTGTAAAATTTTCTTACAGAATCCCCCACGTCCTTGAATTAATGTTCGAAAATTTTTTCTCAATCACGCATTTTCCTAGAAAATTTTTCCTCGTCTGCAACTTGGGGAAAATTAAAAAAAAATGCGTTCCTTCGGAAAAATTTCTGGAAATAATTCAAGCACTAGGGAGATTATAAGTGAAAATTGTTTTGCATTTAAAAGTAAAGGAGGATATGAAAATAAACAATTTTTATTCAGTAACCTGGGGTTTAAAATGCCTTTTTCTGAATAAAATATGTCAAATCAAAGAAAAAGAAAATTTTGAAACCGGCCCCGTTGTGTAGAGTGCACGTAGCAATTTCAGGGACATCAACCTGGCGACATATTTTGCCAGTAGTAATGTTTACTTTAAAACACTTTTTTATGGGCTTTCGGTTAGAAAGCGACGGAACACCACTGGGTCTGAAATTGAATAATAGAATTAAAGTACTTACCATAAGTCAGTATTAGGAAATTCTACAAAAATTGTTCGAAATTATTTCCACAAGCTAATAAGTAGAGTTCGGGATTCGATCGGCTGATCATAGCTGTCGCGTCGGCATTTCGCTACAGGGCACCATACGAAATCGGTAATAACGGCAGTTATTGGCTTCGCGTTTGCTTCGTGTATACTTGTTTCAATATTCTAATAATGTCGAACGCGCCAAGGGGTAAAAACGACCTTTCGTTAATAAAATAAGCAATAAGTTAAGCAAGCAAGTTAAGGTAAGCAATAAAATAAGTTGTTGTGCCACTTGTTGCTGAAATCAACATCAAAATCCTACATGCGGCTGAAAATCATTTGCAGTCATAACTTGCACACAGATGATAAGGGTTCTGCTCGCGTAATACACACCACATGGTAGTTACTTCGGCTTGTGTTTTCCTTGACAAGGTATAAAATGTCCTCCTTCCGATTTTAATCACGTTGTGGTTTTTCTTGTCTTTGCCCTTCATATGTTGGGTAGACTCTATAAATATCCTATAGTCTTTGAACCGCATTTTCCACTATTCTGAGATTCATTTGTTGTCTTTTTATACAATGATTAGCAGACAAACAACAAGTATAGTCTTTCCGAAGTCAGTTGAACATGTATAAAAACGCTTGGCAATAAAATTTAATGGTTTCATAGGCACCCGTAAAAAAGATTACTGCTAAAGGTAAAAAATAATATAATAATTAGTATATAATGTGTAAAAAATATCTATTATATGTTCATTTTCTTTACGTAAATTATAAATTGTCCACGGAATGTTGTCATGTTATTGATGTTTTGAAATTTTTGTTTTCGCTTCCTCTTTACGCATTGACCTTGTTTAATAACACGAAAAATTGTGGACACTGAAACTTTAGTTAATATGTGAATTCTATTTATAATTTCATTATCTGATTTTTCATTTTCTTCCCTTTTTAAACAATCGTAAATATTTAAAATGAGACGCTGACATTGAACATGTAAATCTTTATTTTTAAATTCTAAATCTGTTTTATCAACAACCGGTTTTACTAATTCAATATTGTCTGGCGGTATTTTGTTTTGCTCCGTTTCAAAAGGTCTCCAAAATGCCATGTTGTAATAATATTAGTAAACAAAATATCCCACTTATTTCTTCCTTTCGCAGTTGTAATATGAATGATTATTTGAAGATACTTATAATAAATTAAAGTTACCTGAATCACACCAAATTTTGCATTGCTGCACTGCACTGCTAGGCAATTAGTCAACAACTGAAATTTATGGCCCAGTCGCCCACTGCGGCTGTGTTTGAGCGCAGTTTTCCACGTTTAGTTCGACCAGACCTGTATATGGGTATGACTAAATAAATGTGGGAACAAGTTTTTCAAATGTTTCAATGCCGAGTTGCTGCATAGTGACCGAACCTGGTACATATTGCCTAGCTCTTTGGTCTTCAGTTGAGATCGAAAAAACTTTAATATTTAAATCATATCCATACACTATGTAAATTAATGCCATACTCGCTAATTCTTGATTTGATATTGTGAAATAAAGTAATGTAGATCAATCCACAGTCATTGAGAGAAAGCAAGCAAGTGTCTGCTCTGTGCAAATAACCACTTTGAACTTGATCTAGTTACTCCATTGTAAACAATTGATTAAGTGGGACAATGCAGGTTCTGCCTAAGTTTCACGTAAGAATTCTCACTTCCTCTACTATCCATTCGAAGGAACAACTTATTGAAGTCCTAGTAATGATTGGAAAAAAATGTTATGGTGGATGGAGTCTTTCTTTTATGCTTTAAAGGGTTAAGTTGTTGAAAAATATCCCTGATATACAAATATCTTCAGATATTTGACATAGAAAGGCGACTTAATGAATGTAAAAGTTTATTAAATTTGTAACCAGTTATATGAATCAGTGGTAGATATATTGTGAGACACTGTCACTAAAAGCTTCACAAATTTTAAGCTACTGAATATTTTCTATATTGTATTTAAAAGGAAAAATGTATATTTCTAAAACGAGTCATTTCTGAGATTTTTTTTTTTATTTAAAATATGCTAGCCACATAGTTCAGTATATCAAAAATAATTCTACCGCTGTTCATTTCATAAAAAGAAATAGGAATTTTTGTTATAAATACAATTCTAAATATAATGTAAAAATTAAAAATTAAAAAAATCATTGGCATAGAAATTTTAAATTTTACCATTTTCTGAGGGTTAGTAAGGGGCAAAATTCCACGCCACTGACTTTTTTGAACCCTTAATGATTAGATAGGATTTAAAATTGCATTTGGAAGGAAAACATCCTGTTCTTTATTTGTGAAATGAACAGATGGTAAGTTTGTTTTATGCTAGAAAATAGTAATAACTCAAAACTTCAGAGATATTTACCTACTAGATGTACCTAATATTTTTCAAAATTTTTCCTCGAAACTGAACAAGAACACTGCGTTTTTTTATACTTTTTGTTGGTTTGTCTGCTTTTTTCAGGGTGAAATTTTTAGACATAAAATTATTTTCATAAACATATCCTTTGATCGTTCCTTTTGGTGCAATGGCTTATTTAATAAATTCTCATTTCCAGGTGCGTCATTTGCAACACTACGTTCAAAACGGCGAATATGGTGAAGGAACACATAACCACCCACTTAACCGGCCTCCCGCATCCCTGCGAGAAGTGCGATTACAGTTTCGAGACCTCAGAACAGCTGGAGGAACACGAACTCAAACACGCGGAGATGGAATACGAGGAGCAGATCGAAAAAGAGGTCATATCGGAAGCGCGGCAACAGCAGGAAGAAAACATGGATGAGTACGAGGAAGGAGAAATCACGGAATACACGATTACCGACATAAACAACCCGGAGGTGATTCCCACGTCGAAACACCGTGAGCAAACCGAGAGAGAACCGGGCGAAGACCTGACTAGATTCGGTCACTTTCTCAAGGACGAAATAGACTCGGAACTTGAGGATAACGACGATGGCGCTGGTGATAACGAAAAAACTTCCGCTCAACAGCAAGAAGTGGAGGAAGAGCAGGAACTGGAGCCTATAAAGCCTATCGTGAGGCAGGAGGGGACGAAAGTTTACAAAAGGAAAGCGCCCTTGCAGAGGAAAGTGCCGCAGATTGTGAGGGAGCCGCTCAAACTCGCGCCTCTGGAGCAGATCAATCAGGCAGAGACGCAGATCGAGAATGTCAACCTTAGTTCTGATATTGGTTCATTGCCGAGTAAGAAGTTCGTTAATATGAAGGTGGGCGATAAAGTGGTTCGGGTACAGAAGTTCATCGTCACCAAAGAGGAGATGAAGGCCATGGCAAAGCAAGGTATTAGTTAAAATTTGTTTGTTTGTAGTAACATAAGTTAAATACTGGTATTATTCTAATTGACATAGAGTTTCCTAAACCCATGTCATAACTTGAGGATGTTGTAAATCATTTTCGTTTAGACTAAAAAGAAATAACGAACCGAGGCACACCGGGGCGAAAACATTTTTTTTGTTTAAAAATACTCATAATTGAATTCCGAATGGAACCTCGAAGCCTGATTTTCGAAATACACAATAACCTCAACCTCATAAACTCAACCTCCATAAAACTATATTTGAAATATTTCATTGTAGTCCAGACAGTATCTGTTTCAAAAAGCCATATTTGGGTGAATCGTATATTCACAGAGATTTTTGGCTTTCAAATATCACTAGAAATGAAAATTTTTCTATGCGCATAAAAAAAAACGTGGGCTTAACTTTTGACGGCACAATATGTTAAAAAAATTGGAAAAATGTCATATTTTTCTTCCTATTTAATTATGTATCTTTTTAAGAGTTGATTTTAGACGAAAATGGAAGAGGAACAAAATGTTTGTAATTAAATTTTTTATAATACATGACTGGTTACAAATCGAATGAAGCATGATTATTATGGTAAAAATCGAAAAAATCACAAAAATGGGGTTAAAAAACAATACTTTTTAGGGAATTTTTTTGGTGTATTTAAATTGGGTGTAGGACCTTTATACTTGGCTCAAGAAAACTTCATGTTATGTAGAATCATCACACCAAATTTCATCAAAATCGGTTCGATAGATTTTGCATAATAATTTTGCAATCCAGATTAAAAAAAAATTGCAAATTTTCAAAATTTTGCACAGCAAAAACCAAGGCCCTTAGATACTTGAAAATTTAATCACATATAGAAGGGCTCTCAGGCTTTCAAACTTTTTTTGAAAAATTCGAATCCGTCAATTAGGAGAGCTCTGGCGCTTGTTTAAACATTGGTCGAATTTTTGTACTTATAAACAATTAGAACTTTGTGAATATTCAATCAAATCAAATTTTTTAAAGCAGGTTTTAAAAGTTCTTGGAAAGACGCTTCTTTAAAAAAAAACAGATCGATTGATCAATTAGTTACGTAGTTATAGACGATTCAATTTCGAGCAGGCCGAAGCGGCCGCGCTCTCTGCTTCCCCCACCACCACCACCCGTACGATTTTATTGAATTTCTCGCTTGCATAAATAACTTTAAACATGTTTTAAAGTAGGTTGCCAATGAAGAAAAGTATTGTAATCTTAGACCTGGTAAGTACTCGGAATACCAAAGGTATTTTTCGAAAAATTAGCCCGGATGTCCCAGTACATTTAGTGTAAATGACGGCTATAACTACGTAACTAATTGATCAATCGATCTGTTTTTTTTTAAAGAAGCGTCTTTCCAAGAACTTTTAAAACCTGCTTTAAAAAATTTGATTTGACTGGATATTCACAAAGTTCTAATTGTTTATATGTATAAAAATTCGACCAATATTAAAACAAGCGCCAGAGCTCTCCTTATTGACGGATTCGAATTTTTCAAAAAAAGTTTGAAAGCCTGAGAGCCCTTCTATATGTGATTAAAATTTCAAGTATCTAAGGGCCTTGGTTTTTGCTGTGCAAAATTTTGAAAATTTGCAATTTTTTTTTTTAATCTGAATTGCAAAATTATTATGCAAAATCTATCGAACCGATTTTGATGAAATTTGGTGTGATGATTCTACATAACATGAAGTTTTCTTGAGCCAAGTATCAAGGTCCTACACCCAATTTAAACACACCAAAAAAAATCCCTAAAAAGTATTGTTTTTTAACCCCATTTTTGTGATTTTTTCGATTTTTACCATAATAATGATAATTCATTCAATTTGTAACCAGTCATGTATAATAAAAAATTTAATTACAAACATTTTTTCCCTCTTCCATTTTCGCCTAAAATCAACTCTTAAAAAGATACATAATTAAATAGGAAGAAAAATATGACATTTTTCCAATTTTTTTAACATATTGTGCTGTCAAAAGTTAAGCCCATGTTTTTTTTTATGCGCATAGAAAAATTTTCATTTCTAGTGATATGTGAAAGCCAAAAAGCCAAAAATCTCCGTGGATATACGATTCACCCAAGCCAAAACAGATACCGCCTGGTCTATTGGTACTGTTGTTATATTTCAACAAATCAAATGTCTGCTATTGCATCTCATCCATCATTTTTGATAAATCCTTGTAGTAGGGCGCAAAGTACAAAAATTTAAAACAGGGAAAATGGCAAAACGTTATACTCGTATATTAGTGAATTTCGATGCTTTGACCATACTTTCGAAACGGAACTCCTCTAAACTCCACTACGTACGGAAAGGAGCAATGTATCATTAGATTCCTTAGAGTGTGTACTTTAAGAAAAACTGGTGAACTTTTGCGAATATTCACATAATTCGAAGAATTTTATAATACGCCATGCGAAAACGCGCTTGACAGAGGTTAACTCTTTGAACCATACATTTTATTTCTCGATGGAAATTTTTTTTAATGTGGCATCTGAGTACTTTCGGGGTCGCTGATTACGAATCAGAGTCAGAATTGTAAAATTGACAATGGCCGATTCAATATGGCGGATCAATAATTCAAAAAAGTTTTTAATTTTCATACCCGGGGGTTTTTCGAGTCGCTGATTACGAATCAGAAGTCAAAATTGTAAAATTCAAAATGGCTGATCCAATATGGAGGACCAATACTTCAGAAAAATTTTTAGTTTTCATGAAAATCAGTACTCGGGGGTTTTTCGGGTCGCTGATTATGAATAAAAAACCCCCAGGTCAGTGTTATAAGAAATATTTCAACTACTTACTTGGATATACAGCTGAAAAAACCCATTTTTTTTTTTTTTCTAATAATTTATAGTAATATCTATTAATTTATAATAAAAAACGAGGCTGCGAAGAAATCTGAAAAAATTCTAAAAAATTCTAATAAAATCCTAAATAAGTGTCTAAATCGGCGTTCCGATATTGGCAATACTTTAAGGGAAAATGCATGTCTCATAAAAAGCACAGATTTTGAACATTTGAAAAATTGAGCTTATGAATTCTGAAATTAATGTTCTATGTAATATCTGTATTACTAATATTTGCATTTTTGCATAGGAGTAGAGAGAACATTTAAAAATCTGAGAATATATTGTCTTTGTGTACAAGGATGACTGTTTTTTCCCTGACCCCATGAATTCACCGGTCCGGTGAAAAATCATATCTTTTACAAACGGCCTTACCCCTCAAAACTGACACTTAAAATTACTTTCTGAATAATTGCTTATTATTGAAAATTGCAATATATTTTGCTTTATTGAGCATTAGAATGTCATATTTCTGTCAAAATAATCAAAATTGTTCACTATAGAGTCTACATGCCATAATTTTACATATTAAAATTAGGATGTATTATAAAAATATCCAGTATGGTAGCTGTAATGGTCGATTTCTGTTATGCATTCAACTTTCAATATTTGTTTCGCATCACTAACACCTCCAGTCCGATAAAATTGTTTCACAAACATGACATTTTATTTCAGCTCTATCATGTTATGTTATTTTCTTATTTTATTAACAGTCAGTTTGATTCACATTCCTGTAAAAATAATCAAAATTGTTCTATCAACTCTACGCGAATAGCTCCTTAGAAAAACTTAAAATCAATGACTTTTGACTGGATGATTACACATTGTATTTCGAATTGGATTTCACACAATAAAATCTCATATTTTATATTATTTTTTTAACGAATATTTATTAAAATATATTCCAGGTTCTTTAAAGCGTATGCAGCACTCACGTATAAGTCACGTGGGTACCTATAAGCGTCACTTGGCATTTAATGTATTAAGTAATTCGACTCGCAGCGTTCCAAGTTGCGATAAAATTCTCCAATATTATATCTCGATGTATTTTATGAATGGTTAATTACACAGATGTAATATACAGATTTTTTATTCAGGGGTAACATCACTCTAATGGTTTGGAAAAAATTGTTGTTTTCGGGAATTTTCAAGGCAAAAACCAATACAAGATATAGTGTCGGGAACAAAAGGGCTTTATTGTACACGTTTTCAGGTAGTATTGTGGACTTTTTCAAACAATTTGGATTCAAAATGGCGACTATAGGTGATGGTAATCAACGAACCTTATATTCAGAGGGCTGTATGGCCGGAAAGGTTTCTTATTAACGGATGGTCTTGGAAAAAAAATTCCTGATATTTTATACTTAAAGCCAGGGAACTTCGTAGGGAAATTAAAAAATATTAATAATTGTTGATTTAGTGAAAAAAAAAGTTCAGAAAAAGACCAAAAATTTGCATTAAATTGTTAATAACAATGAAAATTGTTAAACAATCGAAAAGCTCCTACGATGTTTTCTGAATTATGTTATTGTGAAGCTCTGCACAAAATTTCAAGTTGATTGAAAACTTTATGAGTTATGTTTTGACCAGTTAAAAAAGTGAAAGTCTTGAAAAACGCTTTTAAAATTTTTGCTGCTTCATCTTCTTTTCGGCTTGATCTAAGACTCGACAGCAGTGGCGGCCCGTGTGTTTGAATACGGGGAGGACGCATTTTGAAAAGAGGACGTATATCATAAGAGCTGTGGGGGGTGTGGGGGGTGGCAGCCACCCGCCTAGCGCCGCAGGCGAAAAATTTTAAGGAATTTGAAGGTCATTGTGTTTTGCAAGTACCCCAAAATGAATACTGTCAGTGTGTACAGTAGGTATGTACTTAGATACAATGCGAAAAGTAAAATTCCAACGTGTGGGGGCTGAAGTGGATAATCGATCAACCAACCCAGTTAGGATATAATTATGTAGATTACTGTAATAGTTCATTCTGTATAGTTTTTGAAGTTCCTATAAAAACATGGGCATCACTAACATGTTTATCAAAAACGGGATCAATTTTTGCACTATAGTCTATCAGTTCTAAAAATACCCCTTTGTTTACCGAGTCACTTTTTTTATTATGTCCACGAAGAAGAAGGTTACATGTACCACATAGTTATAAGATATCTATGATTTTTGAAAGAAGCAATCGATTTTTCTTAACTGTTTCGTGATGACTATTTATTTGTTCTGCATAAGCACTATTTAAACAAGAAGCAATATTTACTCTTCCTAAAAGTAAAAAACTCAACAACTTATTTTTGTGTTTAGAAGAATTTTCATGTTTCTTAATTTTGTCCGGTAAATGTTTCAAGTCAGAAACTCCAGTTTTCGTCCGGTTTTCTTCGCCTCCTCCAAACAATAAACATAAAAACAAAAAAATCTATTTGTTTCGTCACAACCACACAACACACTCAACCACAGGGTCTTATCATAAATGTTTTTATCAAATTTGCGAATAAAAGCCAGCCTACTTTTGCACTCTTTCTGCACCTGAACTAAATTCAACACTGGCATTGGACGTCCGTTATTTTTCAATTCGACTTTTTCCTCTAAACTTAAATTACTAATAACAAGTTTTTTATTTCACAAACCCTCATTTTAAACTTAAACTTATAAAGTATAATGCCTTAAAAAGTGCCAAAGCAAAAACAAAACACGTATAACCACACTTCAGTGATACGGGTTACTGCCTCATGGAGTCCCAAGACAAAGCGCGCGAGCCTATCGTCGCCTATCCCCTCCACGTGCCAATTTGTCCAATCATATGAAAAAATATGCTTGCATGATGGACTCAGATTTCACAGTCCGTGATGGAGTGGGGATTGCGCGCGCGGTCAAACATAACTCTTTGGTACGATCATAGATGGCAGATAATAAATAACTACTATAATAGTTAGCTACCTCTGTGGATGGTTGCGCCCCACCTCGAAAAAACTCGTTTTACCGATTTTTCCCCCACCTAAAACTTGTTTCCTATATTCTTCACATAAGCATTGCTTAAACCATTTATCCAACAATCGATTCTTTCAAAATTCTCGTGTGGTTTTACCCCTTAATCTATTTCATGCTCAAGTAATGAGAGTCAAACTTCTAACACATTGTGTATCTAAATTTAACAAACTAATAATTATTTTTGTTGTAGGAATTCTGGAAATGAAGGGTGGGCAGGTCGTGTTGAAAAATCCGGGACAACCCATTTTAAATGCCACCCTGAAACCCATCCAGAAAGTCGATATAGAGTCTCTTATAGATAAAAAGTCAAACGCTAAACAACAAATTAAGAAATACCAGGCGAGACCAGGGCTTGAAAGGTTATCGGAACAAAATTCTTTATTTTCCGATAAGTCACAGGATAAAAACACATAAGTGTTGAACATCCAATGTTATCTTTTGTTATACTATTTTTTTTGTACATAATTAAAATAAATATGCTGTAGTTTAGAAAATAGTTTATTTATTTTGTGAAATATATATATTAAAAATAGAAATATATACATATATAATAATAAAATCTCTTAAATAGTTGGTCTTATTATTAAAATGTTAATAAACATGCATATTTTAAAATCGTGGATACAATAATGGCATAATAAATAAAAACATTTACAAAAATGAACTTAAAATGTAATTTGTGCTTAGCTTGTGAGATTCATGGGATCTGCGGCCTTTAGGCCAGGTCACCGTCTTTGGCACCGTCTAACCTCCTAAGCTGCAAAAGAAATTGGAGTTAATCGGTGCATTAAGAGGGCTCTATAGCAATTAGGCAACCAGCAATACATTTTTATAGATTTTGTTGCACAGTTTGTCTAAATATGAATCAATGCACAAATAACAGACTTTCCTCCATTCTAATGCACATTTTCTACAAAATGGAGTTAGTTTGAAAATCAAATTACTTTTTATTGTGAAGAAATTTGTAATTTGCCACTTTTGAACAAGCTGCATCGGAAATTACAAATTTCTTTACACCAAAAAGTTATTTGAGTTTCAAATTAACTCCATTTTATAAAAAATTTGCGTTGAAATGGGGGAAAGTCTGTTATTTGTGCATTAATTCATATTTAGACAGTGTAATAAAATCTATAAAATGTATTGCTGGTTGCCTATTTGCCCACTTAAAAAAAAATGCGACATAATGTGGCACTCGTAAGTATTTCTAAAAGTTACGAATTTTTACCATTTTGAGCTGGATGGTCTATTACTGATATAATTATTCAATTGAAAAAAAGTGGAATATTGTCTTTTACTAGACTTTTGAGAAAAGAAGCATAATAAATTATTGTCTCATTAGATTACACAGTATGTCCTTTAATTCGACAGTCAATCTGCTACGGGGTGCTTGTTGGTCAAAATTAACAAAAGTAGTTCAAATGAACCGGATATTTTTCATTTCGACCTCACATTTAAGATCTACAAAAAAGAAAAAATATGCATTCCAACGTCATTAAACGAAAATTTCAAATTCAGGGCCAAATGTAAATTCTAGAATATTTTGGTCTATTGCAGTGACAATTCTCACATATCAGCATCATTGTTTCACGTTTTTATGGGCAATTCCTTCAGTGTTTTATCTCTGTAGGACAAAAGAGATGGAATTGAAAGATTTCGACAGTTTTCAGAAAAAATTAAATGTGTTACATGATAACAGTTGTAACCAAAGCTGAACATTTGGATTCAATTTCAAAGTTTCTTCTGAAGAAGAGATTGACAAATCACTAGAAACATCTAAAGTAGTCTAAACTTGATACCACAGAAGCCTGCATTTGTAATCAAGTGTAAAACACAAAAAAAGACTCAAGTTCATCTTCAAATATAAGTAAATGTTCCTTAAACACTAAAGATGATTATTTTAGATGTAATTAATGGAATAAATTACCTTTAAATATGTAATGTAATAAATATTTTGTCCTTTTTGAGATTTATTTTCCTCTTTTTTTTTGTATAGGTAACTTCTTAAATGTCGTAAGTAGTGGTTATCTAAATTCAAACACGAATATATCTGCCCGATGCATTATTCTTGGACTAACCGCCATGACATGATAAATTTAAAAATGTTATTTGAAAACCTTGTTTCTTCAAAATCGTTTAAGAGCAATAATTTTCCTAATTATCATCACTCTTTCACACTGCAGGATCTAAATTTACAATTTTAAAGAGACATTTTATTACTGAGGTGACTAGAAAAAAGAAATTCTATGTAAAATATTGTAAAACACATTTTTTTGTGACCTTGTATAACTTTGAATGATGTATATCAAAAAACACGTGTATCAAATTAAATATTGAAATTTTTTAAAATCATTACCTACAAATTATCGTAGAATTAATGGACAACCTGTGTAGATAATTATCTAACATGATAGCACAATTTTATTCAAATGAAATCATCCCAAAATTGTTTGTTCCATATATTGCAATGATGTACATCCTACTACATGTTCCAGGTCAGTATTTATCTTTATCAAACAGTCAAATTGTTTTTTTTTATAACTTGAAGATATCTTAGTCTGTGTGAATAATTGTTGCTGAAATATTGTTTTTTTTTTTATATTTATGTGTTATATAACGATTATAAAATATGATAAGAATAGGGCGTATTGTCATTAGTTTTTTATAAACTCGATGAAATTATCAATGTAATATGGAAAAGTACCAGAAATATGTAAATATAAATAGTAAAATGAATAATAATAAGATATAATGTGAATATAATAGCGGTGGTATCAGGGCCCGAGAACTTATACTTGAAAATATGGGGACACTGGGAACCACGTGACTTGAGATGGATATACAAGTTGGGGAAAGAGTCTATAGATGTCGCCACAAAGATTTTGTAGAATAAATTTTGACAATTGCAATTATGAATCATTTCATGTCATTCTTATTGCTCATGTTTATTGTTGGTTAGGTTTGGCGAGTGTTGGTGTGTGTTTTATTTGTGTTTTTAGTGTGTTTTATTAGATATTTCATTCACATTTATTTATATAACATAATAATGTCTGATCATCATATAATCACATTTTTTTATTAATAATAAAATGTTTTGTTTTGTTTGTTTTTAATAAAAAATGTGATCAGAGGTAGGTAGTTTTTTTTATGGATATCAACACAACGAAAAATTTAAAGTTGCATAATAAATCTCTATTACAAGAATTAATCAAAAATTGGTTTAGTAAAATTATTTACTTGTAATATTTTTTTATTCACCGTGAAAGCTAATACAATATAGAAAGCACTGAAACTCTATAATCATTTCCACTATTTTTTTTTCAAAATATGTACTGAAATTTGAAATTTTTTCAACAAACATTTTAAAAAGTTACAGTATCAAATTTATTTCTTATTTTCAGTAGGAAGACTATTAGAGCATTTAAAAGTGTCTTTAATGCTTGAGTGATTTTAATGCTTTTTATCAAATGTACTTATTTTCTCATGGTGACAAAAAAAAATTATCTACGTGAAAATTATTTTGCAAAATCAATTTCTGAGTGATCTGTGTAGGGTGAGATTTGTTATGTAATTTTAAATTTAGCGGCGGCATAATACCTAAAACAAATATTGAGTAGGTAGGTATATAGTTGTAGAGCGTACAACTAGATGGCGCTTGCATCTTTTACCGGCTACAGGTAATTTAACTCACTGTATTACCGATAATTCCTAGAAAAGGAAAGCAATAGAAGTTGGAGAAAGTGTCAACAGTTAGCGTTGTTAATGACCACAAGTTTCCTATCTATAGTATCATTTATCTAGGGGTGGTATTTATAATTAACTCTACGTCCATGTTATAATTCTGTGCCTACAGTATCGCGATCTTAAGGCCTTTCGATTTGGCAAAAATAGTAGCTATTAATAGCTAATAGCAACTTAGAGTTACTCTGAACTGATATTAGTTGCTAATAGGTACTATTTTTGCCAAAACGAAAGCCCCCTAGGTTGTCGATGAGGTACAAACACTGAACTTTGCTTGTAGCAGTGTCCGCTGTTTATATTTATCTATGGTGAGGAATGAACTAAATGGATGAAACTAAAGTCCCTAGATTGACCATCTAGAGACTTTAGATGAAACAGGGACTTTAGTTTTAGTAGTGTTGTGTTATCTGTATATGGAACAACGGTGTTGAGGTAGGTCAATTTTAAATTTAAATTATTATCATTAGTGTAAAATACTTCACACGTTTTGTGGTTTAAACTATTATGTTGCCCCTATTTAATATGTAAACAAAATTTGTAAACTTACATCGTCCACGGTAAATATTCCGGGTTGCTTGCAAGTTAGAATTGGTTATTTTTCAAATCTTAGAGAAAATTACCTATAATTTTACCTCTTTTTCATTTGTAGCAACTGTAGTGTATCGTTCGATGATCTTCAAGGGGCCTAAACTGGGGGCTTGAAAGGCATTTTGGTAGAGGAGTGCGGCACCTATACCTCCCAAAATTGGTCCAACCCAGTAAACCTGAAAAAGACAATACATATTACAGAGTTTTATCTATAAGTTCTTGTAATTTCAGGATGTTTTTTGTTGCATAATTTTAAGACAAAAAACCAGTGAACCAAAAAGGCTACTGATTTTCGAGATATAGTGTTGAAATAAAAATATTACATACTCGAATATCTGTTGATATTTGTTGTAAGAGAGATTTAACAAATTAAAGGTACAAATTCACTGTAATGTTATACAAATAGGTAAGAGATATTTATAAATTAGGTACATTTGGTACATTCACTTACCCAGTGATCTGCCCATTCATTGGCGATGACAGCTGACCCAAAGCTACGTGCTGGGTTCATGCTGGAACCGGTATATTTGATGGTGGCCAAGTGTCCTAGAGCCACTGCCAAACCGATCGCGAGAGGTCCTGCAGGTTTGGCTTCTGGCCTGTTCTGATCGCAGACGCCAAACACAGTTAATACCAGGACGAAACCTGAAGATTTAGTTTGTTAGTTTAAGATAGTACACCTTAAAGTTTCTAAAATTTTAAATTCATTTTCATTGCCACTTGATTATTTTATTATTGATAAAAATATAAATCTAAACATACTTGAACAAATGTTTTATAATCTTTTATTTCCGACCTGTATACGTTGACCCACTTAAAACTACATTTTTCAACATTTGATTTGAACAGTAGAGTTTTGAATAAGAATTACTTAAAAAAATATAGATGTTATAGACATCTCCTCTGGTATCTGGGCTAAATTTCATACATTTTTTAAATCAAGTCTTGGCAACATCCTAATCGATGTTCGCGGCGAGCATTTTGAACATCTCCTACATTGACATTAATGTTTTTTTTGCTTTTTTACATTATCAATAAATAAACAGTATTACCTATTAGTTTTTGAGTGTGTGTAGCGAATTTCTGTAAAATATTTTTTTTAATGTCAATTTTTGCAATAAATATGAAAACACTTAATATTTTCGAAACAATTGAATATAGGTATAGAGTATAGGACATTGTACATGAAATATGTCTAAAATTTTTTGAAGAATCCAATAATTGAATAATATACAGGGTGTTGCATTTAAAATAAGAAAGTTGGTATTGACCACTGTTACATAACACACCCTGTGTAAAAAGTTTTTGTTAAGTAAAACACGGAAATACAAATACCAATCGGCGTGTCCGAGCGTTTTTTCGAACACGCCCTCAGTTATTTATTATTGAATTTAAGTATTCCATTTGGCTGACACATAATGTATATGTAGAAATGTTGTTAGATGTGTTTGTGCCTTTCAAAATTAATGATTTGATTGACTACAACTGGAAATCAAAATCATCCTTCTAAATCATCGTCGAAGACTCGAAAGCGAATGAGAAAAAATAGTCCCAGTTCATCGAATAGTAGTTCGTCAAGTTATTCAAGTTCCTCCAGTGCATCCAGTAGTTCTAAAAAGGAGAAGTTCAAAAGACGGCGAGACAAAAAGAGAAGGACCCAGAGAAAAAGAGTAAAACAGCTGCAAGTGTATTATCCTGGTGTGGACGAGAAGGTCATACCAATATTTGATCCTCGACAGGATACATTATCGGTAGAGCAATGGGTTTTGCGAGTAGAAGAACTGGCGGAACATTACCAGTGGCATCCGTCAACCATAATTAAATTTGCCGCGGCCAGGTTGACAGGTATGACAAGAAGATGGTATGATGCGCAGTTACTAACAAAAACTTGGAGGCATATGAAGAAGTTACTAGTGAAGCAATTTCATAAGCCACTGCCATTTGCCAAACTCTTGAAAGACGCCGCATTGTATGAAGCGACGACCGGACAGGATTTGGCGGAATATTGTTTTACTAAGTTGGAGAAATTAAGAGCCTTGCAACTACCCATACCAGAGGTAAACCTAATTGACGCCATCATTGGGGGAATACCCGATCAAAATGTGGCTAGGGCTGCTCGATCATCTAGGTTTACTTCCACCAACGAGGTATACTCCTTCCTAAGTACGATGGGGAAAATGCCAGTGAGAAGAGCGGAAGTGAGAACAAGAAGTGCGGGTGAAACAGATAGAGAGAGGGTCCCTATTAGATGTTTCAATTGTCAAGGCACTCATCGTGTGGCAGATTGTCCAAGGCCGAAAGTGGAGTGTTTTGGGTGTGGCCGATTAGGACATAGACGTAACAGATGTCCGGAACGAGATATCAATACCAAGGACGCAAAATCCTGACTAAGCGGAGAGCCGGAATGTAGTGTAAATAGTCCGGTGGTCACGAAAATAAACATATGTGGCAAGGATATTGATTGTTTAGTGGATACGGGAAGTTCTAAAACATTGATCAAAGACAGTTTGTGCCAAAGACTTGGTTTGTTGATTGAAGAACGGGTTACTGTATTGCGGGGTTTTGCAGGCGACGAAATAACAAGTAGTCGGGTGGCAATGATGCACGTGCGTATCGGTGAACTACCTGTTGACATTTGTGCGGTAATAGTGAAAGACTCGGAAATGCTTTATGACTGTATAATCGGTTGTGACTTGTTGAATTTGCCGACTATCACATTAGTCAAAACAGGAACAGATGTGAGTGTCCGATTAGTAGAACCAAAACAAAAAATTTACACAACAAGTGAAATAACCAGCAATGTAACCTTTGGTCAAATCCCTGACGAAGCAAAACAACAATGTTTAGAACTGCTAACCAACTTCGAGGATCGGATAACAACATCTATGGCGAATCTAGGCAAGACGGATTCTGCAAGGTTCGCAATTAAGTGTACAACAGAGACTCCTACATCATGTCAATCTTATCGCATGGCACGAACTGAGAAGGCAGTTCTACAAGGAATTATTGATGACCTTCTAAATAATAATATTATTAGAGAATCAAATTCGCCTTATGCTAGTCCAGTCTTACTCGTAAAAAAGAGGACTGGCGATTATCGAATGGTAGTAGATTATCGGCGTTTAAATGCTATTACCATTAAAGACAAGTACCCATTACCTTTAATTGATGAACAAAAAGAACGACATGATAAAAGCAGAGCAAATGCAGAACGGTACGACGTAGCAGACTTGGTGTCTGTACAAATAACTAGCGATCCTAGTACGGGCAGTAGTAGAAAACTAAATCCAAAATTTAAGGGACCGTTTAGAATAAAGTGCGTGTTACCAAATGATAGATACGTTGTGGAGGATCTACGAGAGGGTTTCCGCAATGTCACCACCGTTGTGGCAGTGGATAAAATAAAGAAATGGATAACAGTTCAATTGTGAAAGTTATTTAATAAATATCGTGTGATAGTGCGAAGTCGATGGCTGATTCAATTCTAAGCAACGTAAGCATCAATGTTGAAGTGATAATATTTATAGACGACGTGACCAAACGAAAGGTCAGTTATTATTGACCTAGGTCAAAAAAAAAATTGAGCTGATGTTTACTGATTCTACTATAATTATTGTTGATTCTGCTTAGAATAAGAGCTCTGTATTAGCTTAAGAAACCATACATCTTAGAATAACTATTAAAAATGTAATTTAGATATGTTTTAAGAAAAAGGTATGACTAGACTAAGTACCGATGCGATTATAGCCAGAGGGGCGGGCCGACTGGGCCAATGTAAATCGCCGAGGTGGCTGGGCCGACTGGGCCAAGGTAATGTTAATGTTTGCCAGAGGGGCGGGCCGACTGGGCCAATGTAAATCGCCGAGGTGGCTGGGCCGACTGGGCCAAAGTAATGTTAGTTAGTGGGGGATGAGACGCTAAGGTCGGCCAAGGCCAAGGCCGGCTGGACAAGTATGTCTTCAAGAATGAAGGCCAAAGGCGAGGACGCCAGAAAATGCAGGATGGCCGAGTGTAAGCAAATTTTGCGAAGTCAACCTTGACGGCGCCTGAACGCGCGAATGTTTTGTCTACGAGACTGAGATGGCGGGTGATCGGAGAGCATTGGAAAATATAGGGAGTAGTCTTGACTCACGAGCGGTAGGCGTAAGAGTTAATAAAGTATTATTGATTATAAATCAAGTGACTATTATTTACATCATTTCCAAGTTATTTCTTACACATTTCTCCTTTCCCTCTTACCCTTGACAAGGAAGAATAGATTTTGGTTAGTTTTTATTTTTTATCCATTTTTTTAGCGTACAATCCACTTGAAAGGCCTATTTGGTCCCCACCAGTTTCTGTAGTTTCAGTAAACACTTAAACTTCGATAAAAGTCGGCAGCATCAAAGGAACAGCGCAGTCATAATTTAGCGTCTTATAATTTATGGAACTAATAAAATAAATAAAACGGAACATCTTCTACGTCACCAAATGACGTAAAACACATACGGTTAATAGTAGTTTTAAATTTAAAGCGTTATTAAAGGTATTTTTGAAATTAGAAAAGTACTAAATTCACCGATTGGATGTAATTGATTTACTTATAATAAAGATAATATAAATCATTTGCAGTGTGAACTATATTCGTAGATTTAAGAGAATGATCGAGTTACTGAGTTCAAAAAAACCTGTTTTAGATTTATTAATTTTTCATCCAAGAAATTATCACGATTCTCTATTATTTATAGTGCTATTTTACACGTTACAATGATTTGCCAATTACAAAAATCTGTAGCAAGCTTCATTCATAATAACTGTTTTACATTGACAATTTATTCATGAATAAATTCACGAAGTTCTTCAAGAATTAATGCATATTATGCAGTTTATTCACAAAGGGTTTGGTTTTACACTGCTACAGACTTCGTGAATCTCTTTGACAAATAAATCAGTTCTACCAACAAATGAAAGTAGCAAATGAATTTCAAATTTCGGTACCGTTTTGACATTGTTTATAAATATTGGTTTTTGTAAGCAACAGATCAGTAAAAACAATACAAAAGTAGTACGATGCCACACAGTTATTTACATATGCCAATAATTTAACCTCATTACTGATCTGAGGCTGAAGATTTGTTGGGTTGGTACTTCTGATCTTCACGAAGAAATTCATGAAAATTAGAACATGTTCTAAAAGCTGTTTTACTTAGCGAATTTATTCATGAATTAATTGATGAAGTCGCCTCGTGAAGAAATTGGACAAGTGTAATGCATCAAATCTGCTATCAAATAACTTCGTGAATTTATTCATCTCTTAAATCTATGAACGTATTTTATTTATAATATAACAGAGCAGAATTATTCTTATGACGCATGTAGAATTGGAGCTATAAATTCTATAGCAAAAATTCAATTTATTTATTTTTTTAACTAACACCGGCACCTTCACCATATGTTATAGGATTTTCAATTTTATTTATTGAACTGTCAATTTAAATTCTTATAGGAACTGAATTAGATTTTATTTTTTGATTCTCATTACACTTGAATTGTAACTTTTTTTAACTACAATAATTATATTTCAATTTCAAAATGACTTAGATTTCAATTCGATACACAGGGTGTCAGTTTTAGATTCCACAGTATAGTAATCTGAAATTACGTTT